TCCCCCTCTCTTGCTTCTCTCTTCTTTTTTGCCCTTCGCCTGGTGGGCTGGTGCCCGGTGTGCCCAATGCCAGGCCAATGCCGCCAGTTACCACCCAGTGACAAGTGTTGCCAATGCCAGTGCGCAGACCTTTTTATTTTTATTTTTATTTTATTTTTTGGCCAGGCGCCTGGTTTGGTACGGAACCTGCCCAGCCTACCCAGACACCCATCCCCTCCTAGCCATTCAGCGCGCAGCAAGAAGCCCAGGCACAGGCGAGGAAGCGACGGGAGGGAAAGCGAGAGTGACAAGCGTCCGCACCTGCGCAGGCCAAAAAAAAATGGTGACCTGGAGTGATCCAAGGGGAAAGAGGAGCAGAGCCCATCCACGGTGACCCCCTTCCCTCATCAGTCTCCCAGTTTCTCACTCAGTCTCCCACACGGTACGAAGTACCACCCCCAGTCCACTCGCCCGTCGCCAGTCGCAGTCAGTCCTGGCCCCGTCCCAGACTTCCCAGCAAAAACAAGTGCACCCAGGCGCGTTGCTCCCGCACAATCACTCCCCCCATAGTAAAAAGGCTGCTTGGCCCTCCCCCCATACATTTCCCTCCCTCTTCTTCTCCCATACAAATCTCCCACCCAAATCCTCCTCTCTTACAATCCGCACTCTCACAATACCACACTTTACTGCCTTCGCGCACTCAACCCCGTGAGTACCTGCTGCCCATATCCCATTGCCCACTTGCACCATCAACCACCGCAATACACGCGCAACATCATCCTTTTCTATTTTCAACGTCGCCATATTTTCGATCACTCTGCCTCGATTTGCAACTCAGAAATCGCTTTTTTACAAGTCGATATCGTGGGTGCGATCCGTTGTTGAGCTTCGAACTTTGGCGTGCACCTCTTTCATCTCTTACACGCTCGTCCATCACCCAGCTTCACCCAGAGAGCTTTCCAGCTAACAAGAGCTTGACGCGTCCAGATCACCACATCAACACCTCTCTTTCCACCTTTCAAAAACCTCCTCAGGTATGCTTTACGATCCCTCTTGGGCGACTTTGAGCTTCAAATCGCAATTACTCCGCGTTGCGGAGCGCAATTGCACTTGCGACTCAACCACCTACACACCCTGGCTCTCGCTGTACTGCGGTCCTCTTCCACCATGGCTTTCCTGCATAACGGCGCGGCGGTTTTGCCGTCACGTCGCCATGTTGCGCCGATTTCACTACATTCTTGACCCTCCGCTCTTCGTCACTCCATCACATTCATCTTGACGTTGAGGCAGTTTGACTAACACCTTACTCCAGATACCCAAAATGCCTAAGGCCGCAACCAAGCGAGGTGCCGCTAAGGACACCAAGAAGCGCGCGAAGAAGGGTACGTCGCCAAAATCAATCCTCACTTGTCTCAAGGTGTTGTGAGATTCGGGCAAGTTCGAACTCCAGAGGTTGGGCCTGAGTGGACTCTTGACAAGAGTCCACTGGGCCACGCCTGGAACTAGTTTCAACTTGTCCGCTTTGCGCAGCGCCTATCTAGACCAGTTACCTCTCCATTAACATGGAGCTAACATGCTGTCCAGACCCCAACGCTCCCAAGCGTGGCCTTTCTGCCTACATGTTCTTCGCCAACGAGCAGCGCGAGAACGTCCGTGAGGAGAACCCTGGTATCTCCTTCGGACAGGTCGGCAAGATCCTCGGTGAGCGCTGGAAGGCCCTCAACGAGAAGCAGCGCGGTCCCTATGAGGCCAAGGCTGCCACCGACAAGAAGCGCTACGAGGACGAGAAGCAGGCATACAACGTAAGACACCCCCAACCCCTACTCCATCTGGCCGTGTTGTGCTGAAGCTAATTAGTCCCTCTAAAGGCCGAACAAGAGGAGGATGAGTCCTCTTGATTGCTGTATTTCTGCTGCTTCTCAGTCCGAACGGATGGCGTGGAGTTAAGTTTTGCGCACATCTTTCGGACTTTCCTTGTAACTTTGGGCTCGGCGGTGTATGATGGTATTGAAATGGGTTGCTTTTCTCGTTATTCAGGATCGGCAGGAAGGCGGATATGAGGCAGGCGAAGCTCTCACACCGCCCCGCGTCAATAGCAGAGCTGGTCATGCCGCCCGTCGCGGAATGAAATTGTCCACGATTGGGACACAATGACATTTGACGGCTCACACATTGACAAACATACATAACTACCTACTTGTCCCATTGCAATGTGAGTGAATGTTATACTTCATGAAGTTGTGAACGGGTAGAAGGTGCGCCAATCATGGTACTTGGCTGTTTCTGCCCTTGTTTTCAAGGGTCCTTCCCCAGGTCCAGGGATCTGGGTTGATGGGGCTTACTTTTGTCCAGCCACTCAAGGGTCTCTATCACTGCGACCCCGTCGTGTCATGGGATTTGGTAAGGCACAGTGACTAGATCGCCATGTTCCGCTAATGCAGATTGCCAGAAGCCCGTTGGGGATCATTCAGACGCGACGGCCAAAAACTGACCAGCTTGAGTGGCCCGTGGCCTTCAGGACCTTTCCCTCCCTAGCTGGAGCCGCTTTCTCGATTGCGATTAGAGGTGAATCGGTGAACCTCGGGAATCTCGGTGAGTCGGTGAAAACAGGTCACGGCAGAACAGCGGATTTCACCGCTTAATCAAGTGGGAACAAAGTATTTCCATTTCATCCCGTCTTCGTACTCTGGCAGGTTAGAAGCGAAGAGAGGTACGTATCCTGTGCTTGGGACGTATCTTGCCTCATGCCGTCTGCCTCCAATCACAGACTCCAATGACAGAAGGATCTCCTATCAGTCTCAGCACCTCCTCATACCTTATCCTTCAAGGCCGCTGTTTCCCTCCCGATGATCAGACACGGCATGCAGGTGCGGGCCTGGGGAGTTGAGGTTGGATGCCTGAGCAGGATGAAACAAGACTGCTTCTTTCTCCCGCCCGAATGCGTTGGATGTGCTCGTGTAGAAATTCATAAAAGGAGCCCACGACCGCAGCAGCTGACACTTCGGGCGCTGGCTTTTTCGAACCTCGAATGCTAATCAGCCTTCATTTATCCATCACACTCTGCTAGCCTCACCTGCAGCACTTCTACCCACCGTCTATCTGCACTTTGGCGCCGACGTATGAGTCTTCACCGTTCCAGGAACCAAGGACAGCTACTCTCATTACCATCCCGGGCCACAGTGAAGGACAGGCGACTATATCAGTGAACACCATGGATCCCTTGCCTTCGTAGCCAGATTACCTAGTCCATCGAACACCAACATCGAGTATAGGCAAGTCGCATATCGGCTCAGTGGGCATTCGTTGCATGAGACGGAGCGACGAATGTCCTGCAGCTACTCGTCCCAGGATCCCCTCTAGACTTGGTTCGTCTTATCTCGTCCATCAGACGCAGTTACCTCACGCATTACCCGGGCCCTCCACAGCCTGCCTACATTGTGCAGAAACGAAGCGATCGCGTCCATACTTAGCCGCCATCTCACGCACCGCAGATGTATTTGCCAAAGATTTATCTTGGCTAGGCATGTGGCCCGGCGTTGCGGAAGGTCTACTTGGATTTCTTGATGCATCACGTCACTTCGCGTGTTCTACACAGCTGACACCTGTCAGTTTCATTTCCTCGGTACGCCTCTTTGTACATTTCGATCACTACCATCATCACCCAGCCTCGTGTCTATCTATCGAGATGGTATCCTGTTGAGCGCTCAAGACAATCTGTTTTTGGAAGCAGTCTGCTCGAGCATTTCGAAAGACTTCCATTCCCCCAGACGACCTAGGTGCATCGCACGCTCGATCAATTACCTCGAATGTGTACTTTATGCGCTTATATTACCGAGATGATCACCTAGTCGTCGCACTCTGCATCCCGATGCCAATGTTCTCTTACGTTCCTCGGGGTCTGCGGTAGAGAGACTTGTGAGGAGAGTTCCTCTGCATTACTTATGCAAGTGCTCAGAACCTGGATCTCCACCCCACCGGCTCCGGGCCGGCCTCATTCGCCCGTTGATCCAAGTCGAGCGTTCCTAATGCATGCAGAGGGAAGCATACATGCCCATGGGGCCATCCCTAGCTGTCGTGGCATGCTCTGGCTAGTCGGTGGCCGGATCAATATGTTTTGAGCCCACACTCTCTTCTCTGACAGCAATCTGACCTACATACGCTCCTCTTTGCCGATACCGCGCAGGCCCTCCTTACGTTTTCTTGGGTAGCGGTTGTTAGAATCAATCAAAATGCATCGTTTGACCTGAACCTATTGACACAAGGATCGTTCACTAGACTTAGTAGTTCGAGGGTCAAGACGATCAATACCTAGTTATTTTTGACAAACGTTGGGCCTTGCTGGAGGCAGGTCACCAAGGCCGGATTTGGCCTACCACTACGAAGAAAAACAACAGAGCCAACATCCAACGAATTGTGCACGCTCTCGTCCTCCTCAATATCGTAGCCGATCAGTGCACGAAGACGACGAAATTCTAGACACGTCAGAAGCAAGCACCTGGTGTCTGGGCGTGTGCTGCCAACACAGAGCGAGAGCGACTTGGATTGTTTGGTTTGAAGTCAGGCGGGGTGGTGGCGTGTGTTTCCGGGCTGGCCGTTGAAATCGAGGCCTGCAGCTCTGAATCGCTGTTGCAGCTGCTTCCCGTCCAGTAAGTGGCCGCGAGTGTAGCGACCACGTTACCGCTGCATATCTGAGATTACCATGCTGAGCCCATGAAGCAAGCCATCTCTTTGTCCCTTTCCTCTTGTCAACACAATTGACTTGGGTCGATCTTGGTCGATATATCGTCCAAAGCCGTATGAGGCATTCGCAACGATATCAACCTGCCTCCAACTTGGTCTCCACAGTTCAACAAAACTCCTGCAAGGCCAAGAATTGTACGAGGAGGGTTTCCCCGATAGAGGAGGTGAGGGCGCCGCGGAAATCCGACGAGTCTAACGGTTAGGTTTGGTTCGTTAGACGATGAAACCTTGAGACGCAGACGTTCCCAGTTCGGTTCGATCCGTTAGTGTAGCTCGGGAAAATGGAGCAAGGCATTCAGAGAATCGACTACCGCCTGCTTCAAGGCTGCTGCCTCGAAGCTGAGCGCGCCGACATCATATCGGTGAGCCTGGAAGGGCTCCGTATGGCTCTCCCCGAGGCATACGGGGGTACCATTACCAGTCTTGTTGACGAGATACGGAGGTCTGCAAGGAAGCTGAGGGACTTGGCGGATCGATCGCAGATGCATTTCACCAGGGTGCCAATTTTGCTCAACTACCTCGACGTCATTCTCCCATGTTATTCCAAGACACTCCGCGACATCACCGAGTTTTACGAAGATCGAACTGTGAGCAAGGATATGCGATGGCGAAGGATGTACCACAAGATGACACAGGAGGTCAGTGGCCTGCCACTACCTCAGCGGTTCATGCTCTACAACTGCTTTTTAGAGTCCCTCCGACACCTTCTTATGAGGCGCGCTAGCATCTCTCCTTTGATCTTGGAGATGACGTACTAACAGCCACATAGGTCGACACTCTTTGACCTAAATGGTCTAGAGACGCTTCGGACTAGGATAATCAAGTTGAGAGAAGCAAGAGGGCTCCGTATGTTTGTTCAGAGGCGAAGCAGCAGCAGATTGACTGACACATACCATGAAGCTACGCCAACAACTCAACTCGGGCCTGTCCTCCGACCAGAGATTATGCTCAGACCAGCACCTCAGGATCCGGTATGTGCTGCTGCCATAGGAAATGCCGCTTGGCTGATGAACCATATTTTCCTAGACATTACACTGGGCAGAGCAGATCTTCTCACTCCCACTCACCTCCCGGACAGCCTTGAAGCACATTAGGCCATCAACAGCTTATGGGCCTTTCCAAGCGTGGGGGCAGCTGAATATTCCCAAACAGGTCAAGATGCTGTTCAGAAGGTATATGTGCTCGTAACTCCTGACTGGACATAGACTTGCTGACGCCAGAACCAAGACCATTCGACGAGGATCGGCTTGCTTTAATGACCTACCTAAATCATGTCAACCAGACCCCCTACTTTCTCCTTAGGACATATCACCTGGGGGGCCAGTGGTTCTCGCTACTTGGTGCCCACGAACTCTTCATAAGGCGGGAAGGCAGCGCCTTGCTTCTGGAACGATACAGTAGTTCTCAGATGGGCGTGAAACTATGGGCATCTCTCTACTTCAAAACCTGGGAGGGTTTGTAAATCCTCGTCTGACTTGTCGTTTGACCTACCACTGACATATCCCAGAATTGGTCTTATTCCACTGCACCTTCGTCTCTCTCAAGGCTCGAAATATCTTGACGAGAAGAATGAGCCCAAGGGAGTTCAAGCTCGGTAGTGAATCCCGACTATTCCAAGCGTGCGTGATCCACCCCAGTTTTGCACCTCCGGCCATGACACCATAGCTGACACCTTTGGCCGCAGCCAAATCCTCGACGATGGCTTCAAGCATTCTCTCATCGTCTACCGCGACCTTGTCACCCAAGGTCTTCGTCTCCAAGCTTCAGTGTGGGATGGCGAACTCAAGAATTGTCCAGTGTGGACCGCCTTCGGTATGATCCTCCTACATCATCTTCCATCCTCGCCCTTGCTCACGTTCCTTTTTCCGGGCTTGAGACTAACAAAAAACACGATAACCTCAGTCACCCACCAATCCGCCTCTCCAACCTGGCTCGTACGCAAATCAGATCACCGCATCTGGCTTAAAGACGTCCAGCTTTACGTCTTTTGCCAACAGTACCATCAGCAGAACCAGAGAAAAGGCACCTCGGCCGGCGTCTTTGAGATCGACTTTGTCTCCGAGATGGGCGCGTCACGGTTCATTGAGGAGTTGCAGCCGCAGACGGATCCCTCTGAGGCATCTACAGACACCATGGAAGCCATCGAGGACTCGAAATAACTTATAACCGGTGACGAGCCTCCTCAAAGGCAAGATATATACACCCACTCCGGCTCCGGACCAATATGGGGCCTCCCCCTTTCACCGTCACCTTCCCCACACCCCCCCCCCCCCAGGACGCTGGCACTCACCATTTTGCGGGGCACATGCCTGGACTCGAAGAGTAGGTGAGCAGACATCCACCCACTCTCAGCCCGGCATGTTACTCGCCCAGCGCCTCTCTATCTCCTCCACGTTTCCCAACGAAGAACCACTCTAATGAGCTTTGACACGCGCAACTCTGATACTTTCCACGAATTTATACGGCAGTCTGCTTTCTGTCTCTTCCAGCCTGAACAATGTCAAACGCAGCTTCGATGTATCGCAGGGGATGTTTTGTATCTCGGAGGAAATACCCCGGAAGATTGCTCTTAGGGGTATCTATTTCGTCTAGATTGGGGTAGCCATGCGTTCCATGCGTTTCCCCATCCTCTTTCCTTTGTTTAACGACTTGACGACCTTTATGATCAAAATTGATGATTACGCACGCACAGAAATCACAAGTTGAAAACGTCCCAGAGGCGGGGGCATTGGAGGGCACTGTCAAGCAAAAGACTTTTGTGTGATTAGGTCAATTGATTCAATTTATGCAAATCGTGTACCATCGTGACATCGTCCACAGCAACCTTGGTGCTGGCCTTTCTTCTACTTCTCTATACTGAAGCGTTACTTTTTTTTTTTTGAAAAAACTCCCCACCTTGTCCCCCTTTGTCCAAGTGCAACCCAATCATGCAATAATGCACTTAGGTCTTGACATCGGGCTCATCACGGCCAATGAACTCCTTGAACTTGAGAAGCTCGGTGGCCATCTGGATCTCGGGCTTGAGGAAGTCCTGGGCGTCCAGGTCGTACGTCTTGGGGTCGGAGCTGTGCTGCTCGAGGTACAGGCGAATGGTGGCGCCGGAAGAGCCAGTGCCGGAGAGACGGACAATGATGCGGCTGCCCGAGGAGAAGGTGGCGTACAGACCCTGGTTGGAGGAGACAGAGCCGTCAAGATCGGTGTAGGAGAAGTTGCCGGCGCCAGTGACGGTGCGGTCTATCCAGGTCAGTTTCGTTCCATTCTCAAGATTTCTTACTGGTATTTTATAAGTAGACTCACCTCCAACCTTGCTGCCGATGAAGTTGGGGTCGGCGACGAGGTCCTTGAGGACACCAACGACCTTGTTGGCACCCTCGCTGTCGACATCCTCGTAGTCGTAACGGGTGAAGAAGGTACGACCGTACTCGGTCCAGAAGTCCTGCTGGATCTTCTTGATGGAAGGAGTGACGCCAGGGTTCTGCTCGCCGATACCAGCAATGATGTTCAGCCAGGCGACGACGGCCCAGAGACCATCCTTCTCACGAATGTGGTTGCTTCCAGTGCCGAAAGACTCCTCACCACAGATGGAAAGCTTATCAGCATCGAAGAGGGCGCAGAAGAACTTCCAGCCGGTGGGGACCTCGTAGCAGTTCAGGCCCTGCTTCTTGGCAACCAAGTCGACGGCGCCGGAGGTAGGCATGGAGCGGGCCAGGCCGTAAACACCCTGCTTCTTGAAGTAGGGGATGAGGTTGGCGTGGTGGGCAATGATGGCCAGGGAGTCGCCGGGGGAGACGAAAGCGTTGGCGCCGTAGATCATGTTGCGGTCACCATCACCGTCGGAGGCAGCACCGAAGGGGATGTTGTTCTTGTCAACGACCTCGACGAGGGAGTGGGCGTAGGTCAGGTTGGGGTCGGGGTGGCCGCCGTTGAAGTCGGGGCTGGGGACACAGTTCTGGGTGGCGCCCTTGAGACCAAGCTCCTTCTCGAAGATGGCGGTTCCATAAGGACCAGTGACACCGTGCAGGCCGTCAAAGAGGACCTTGAAATCGGGGTTGGACTGGAAGAACTTCTTGATGAGGTCGAAATCGAAGATGTCCTTGAGCATCTCGATGTAGTCAACAGTGCTATCGACGACCTCAACCTCGAGGGAGCCGTAGGTCTTGGTGCCGATGGTGGAGATGTCGACATCGGGGATGTTGGCGATCTTGTAGGAGGTGAGGGTCTTGGAGGCCTCGTAGATCTTGTTGGTGACGGACTCGGGGGCGGGGCCACCGTTGGCAAGGTTGTACTTGATACCGAAGTCGTTCTTGGGACCTGGAACCGGATTCATTCATGAGGTTGTGAAGAAGATAATACTGGGAGTGTGCGTAGGGATCTTACCGCCGGGGTTGTGGCTGGCAGTCAGGAGAATACCACCAGTGGCCTTGCGCTTGCGGATGACATGGCTAGCAGCGGGAGTGGACAGAATGCCGTCCTGGCCGATGAGCAGCTTCTTGACACCGTAGGCGGCACCAATCTTGGCAATCAATTGGACGACCTCGGGGTTCCAGAAGCGACCATCACCACCAATGACGAGGAAAGAACCTAGAGAGGCGGTCTGTCAGTTTCCTGGGAGGGTTGGGTTGCCAAAGATGAAAGCTGAGATGGATTGCTATTTACCCTCGACGCCCTCGGGGATGGACAGGAGAATGCTCGTGACAAAGGCCTCGCTGTAGTGAGCCTGCTGGAAGACGGTGACCTTCTTGCGAAGACCAGAACTGTAGAATGGCTAGTTAGTGATGGGGGTGCTGGGTGAGGGTGTATCGCGCGATTGGCAGCTATGGCGGGGTAGCAACAAAAAGTTGGACTCGACATGATTGGGGAGGATAACAGCGAGGGGTTTGTTTTGTTAGGGGGTGAAATGACGTACGTGCCGGGCTTCTGATCCTGGAAAGGCTTGAACTCGACAGTCTGGACGTCCATGATGCTGTATAGTTCGAATAGTGATGATGTTTAGGGAGAGAGTTGTCTAGGTTGTAGAAGAGGAAAAGGAGAATGTTGGGAATGGAGCTGCAATTATTAGTGTCTCTGGCTCGCCTTGCCTGGGCTCTTTTCTTCCGTCTCTCATGCGAACCGGCGTTGGCGTAGGTACGGGAGGTGGGACCGGGGAGTGGTGGGCAAGGGGCCTGGAAAGCTTTCAATGGGAACTTGGTGCGGTGAGAGACTAAGGTATCCGGAGGCCACTGGAAATAGCTAATGTGGGCAGAATACGACGCATTGGGACATCTCAGTGAATGGGAGATGGCATACGATAGGCCCAGATTGCACTTTTTTCAGTGAATAGCGCCCCTCCAACCTCGTACGCAGTGATAAAGGTACCTTTCATTCCACCAGAGCTGTGGCCACCTCATGGTGGGGGTTTGCTTGGGCCAGTGATATCATCCTGAGTCTCGACGTGGGCGGGGTCACCGCACAACGAAGGAGGGGCAGCTCTGGGAGAGGCCCCTCACTTCCAGGGGCCCAACACAGGGGATCCTCCCGGCGAATCATCGTGAGGAGCCTGTGACTGCCGCTCTTATTCGCACCGTCCTAGTGTACCTAATCACCTGTCCCTAGCAGTGTGTCAAATATTGCGTACTGTACTCGAACGACCCCGCTACCCTTGCGGTCAACTATCGATTCAACTATTTGCCTTAAGGTACCTAGGTGCCACGCAATCTTAGGTAAGGCAGGTGAGGCACCTCATGATATCTCACTCGTCCCAGTATCTCATGTGATTGAAGGAGCTCAGCTCGAGTTTTGAATGCTATAATCTACAGCAGGTTGTCCGCCCAAGCATCGTCCTCATCCCGTTCACTGACCGGCGTGTCCTGCGCGCTGGTCTCTCCTCTCCACGTCCGGCCAAAAATGGCTTCTCTGTAGTACTTGGCCTCAGCAATGCTCTCGAGGATATCCTCCTTGGCCTGATGAAGTCCCTGCTTGGCAGGAGCACCATCTACGACCTGCGGCGGGCACCAACGTCTCGCCGCCTCCTTGAGCGAGCTGACATCAAGAATGCGATGGTGTAAATGGTCAACCACCTTGCGGTAGGGCGGCTTGTTGAGGAACGAGCGGTCCGCGTGTACACTGTTGCCCGCCAGCAGCGCCGTCTTCTTCTGCGGGATGTGCTTCTTGATGTAAGCGAGCAAATTGTCGGCGGCCTGCTCAGGCGTCGTCGTCGACTTAATAACCGCCGCTGTGAGGCCGCTGTCGCCGTGTGTCTTGGTGCACCAGTCGTCCATCTGCGCCATGCGTTGCTCCGTCTGGTGCACCACGCAGCCCCAGCCCTCGGGGTCAATGACTTGCAGGTTTCCCGTGGTGATGATGCAGAAAATCTCAATGATTTCCTCCTTGTCCGGATCCAGTCCAGTCATCTGGGAATGTGTTAGTCAATGTTGGGTTAGGAGTGGCATGTCTAAGCCTGGAGTGTATACCTCACAGTCAATCCAGACCAAGGGGCCGTCGGATGCAGACTGCAACTTCGGGGCGGGAGCTTTGGGTTTGAGGGAGTTGAGCAGATCCATGGTTCAGGTTAGAATGATGTTGATATCGATTTGAACTCTTGTCAATTTCGGTTGCGTTTCGCCAACAGCAGGATCTTCTGTTCGGCGTGCTAAGCTTGGCTGAGCCACAACTTCAACAGAGCTGGAGTCCAAGGTGGGGTGCAAGCTGCAGCATCCCGGCTGTGGCTTCCAATTGTTACTTTGGAGGAGCGAGATGCACGGAGTACCATGCGAGCCTAGCTGTGCCAGTCGGCATTGTCAGCGCTTTCTTTCTTTCTTTCCATTACCATGGCCACTATCCGTAGGTACACATTGCTGGCAGGAACTTCTCCCTGCATGTTCTCTATTTCGATCAGTACATTTGCAGGCGATTGAAACCACGAGAATTTGGGATGTATCAGTAGTATATAATGGTTCCTATTGTTGCTGCCCACTACCATTGCTCGGGCAGGGGCGTCTCACCGCCAGAACCTAACTGTAGAAGAAGGTGCCCCACATCGGCAGAGGAGGAAATTCAGCCGACAGCCGCTGATAAGATAAAGAAACTGCCAAGAACCAAGGCAAGTACCCCGGACCACGATTCAAATAGACCACCATTCATTGGACCTTGTCCTTCGACAGGGACCCCACTTTCCATGTTGGAGCCAATACTCCAAGTGACATTAACCTCCTTCTTTCATCTGACTGACTTCCATCGGTTCATTGATAAGATCCCTCATATCCTATTTCTAAGAGACAGCGTGTTTTCCGAGATTCTCAGAGACTACAATTTCGTCAAAAGAGAAAGAAAATCTTCAACACAAGGTTCTCCTCTAACCAACAGATCACACTTCAACGATAACGACCACGACATGTCGTCCGTCAAGAAGTCGGGTTCGCTCGTCGCGGTACTTCCAGATGCAACTCCAGTGCCACCTCAGAAACCTCCCATGTCTGCTTCGCCACCTCGCATTCTCGTCATCGGCGCTGGCTCTCGCGGACAAGCATATGCTCATGCTAATGAGACCTCTTGCAACGGTATCGTGGCTGCCGTCGCTGAGCCCATCACCTACAAGCGGCAAAGCTTCGGTCGAACGTTCGTTTGGGGCACCAACACTCCCCAAGAAGGGCAACAGTTTGCGGACTGGACCGAGTTCGTGACATACGAGACACGTCGTCGAGAGCGAGAGGCTGCTGGCGAGGATGTACCGCCCGGCGTTGATGCCGCCTTCATCTGTGTTCTTGACGAAATGCATCGCGACGTTCTCGTCGGTCTTGCTCCCCTGGGACTGCACGTCATGTGCGAGAAACCCCTCGCCACATCTCTTACCGATTGTCTCGACATGTATCAGGCTATGAAGCCTCCTGCTGGCCAGGAGCCCAAGAACGTGTTCTCTATCGGTCATGTACTCCGTTACAGCCCACACAATATGCTGCTTCGCAAACTCTTGCTCGAAGACCGTGTCATTGGCGATATCCTCAAGATTGTGCACACCGAGCCGGTCGGTTGGTGGCATTTTACCCACTCGTATGTGCGTGGCAACTGGCGGAACGAAAAGACTACGGCACCAAGTCTATTAACAAAGAGCTGCCACGACATTGATCTCCTACTCTGGCTTCTGAGCGCTCCAGTAAAGGCTGGAACAGGCACCCCTCATCTACCATCCACTGTCTCGTCAAGTGGTTCGCTTCATCTCTTCAGGAAAGGTCGCAAGCCTACCGCCGCTGGAAGTGCAACAAACTGTATGTCGTGTCCTCTGGGTGATTCAGGCTGTAAATTCTCGGCCAAGAATATCTATCTCGGCCAGGATCTGAAAGGTCTCGCCTCTGGCAACACCGACTGGCCAGTCAGCATTGTACTGCCGGAGATTGAAGACTTCCCGATATCTGAGCGGAACAAAGTCCTGGCATCAAAGCTTGCTGAAGATTACGATGATTCCACCTCCAAAGACGTCGTCGCATCGCGGAACTGGTTCGGTCGTTGTGTCTTCGACGCGGACAACAATGTCTGTGATGACCAGACTGTCACCATCACTTGGGACGATGCTACGGACGGTACCCCAGAGTCAACCAAGCAATCCAAATCAGCAACCCTTCACATGGTTGCACAAACAAAAAAGATTTGCGAGAGGTACACCCATATTTATGGTATTGATGGCGAGATCTATGCCGACGCCCGGACAATCAACATAGAGGACTTCAACACGGGTTCCACCCAGTCATTCCACCCAACCCTTGAAGACGCTGGCCACGGTGGTGGAGACAAAGGTCTCGCGCGTCAATTCATACTGGCTGTGGACAAGGTCAAGAACCACGGCTGGACGCCGGAGAAAGCGCAGAATGAGTTCATCGGCTGCTCACTTGAGGAGGTCATTCGCTCTCACGCGATGGTATTCGCGGCAGAGGAAGCGCGGACGGGGAAGAAGGTAGTTGACTGGCAGAAATGGTGGTCACAAAAGCTTTCCAACACGACAACTGATTAAGAGCAAAGTCAGTTCACCTTCGGCGCGTCAGTCTACGGTCGGGGAGGCATCGGCAGCAGGAGGACGGTCACCGCCCCGAATGGAATCATTTCCATGGCAATCGGAGTCAACTCCGATCCTTGATTATTGGATTTTCAATCTTCACACTGCCTCTTCGTTCTCGGGGACGCAAAGCCGACGGATTCTCCCCGGTTCTCTTAGCTTGCGAAACCATTTTGACTTCAACTGCTAGCCTCGTGAGCTACGCCTCAGTGTGAGAGATGGTACGATGTAGACGGGGTCGCTGCCGAGACAGCCAAGGCAGTCCCTTGCCGTTAACACATCTCGTCTGATATTCAGTGCGGTAGCGTCGAATTTCCACGTTGTCCGATTCGATCTGACCAACGACATCGTACTGATATTTGGAACGACGATCACCACTGACCTGCTACTGGCTTGAGCGGTCTTTGAGACACATCCCGGCAGACAAGAGCCGCCTTCAGCGAAGCTTCCTCGTTGATCCTACCGCCTTTCGACCCTGCCCGACGGCAGCTTCCCGTCGGTCTTAACTGAAGATGAGGAAGAGGAATGAATCTTTCGTACTCTTCCCGGCGGTACAGTCCGCGCTAGACTTCGCTTACGTTGCCGTTCTGTCCACCGACACTGGGCAACTTCGTCCCACATCTCGCCGATCCATGACAAGCTTCCTGGTAGGAGCTTCTTTTGACTTTACACAAGATGAGAGCGAATGTCGCCATTGAGACTTGCGATCAAGATCAGCAAGCTCGTAGCCGTCTCTCCGCAAATGCCTTTGTATTGCCCATGAGGATATCGCTTCCCGGCGGTCAGTTTCCCCGACAGCTTCTGATAGTGCTTGCCACACTTGTGGACCAACGCTCTCGCGGCGATCGCGTACCGTTGAATGTCAACTCCACATCGCGGTCTTCCACGAGGAGATTCGTCAAAGTCGACTGCCTGGACACAGCTGCTCTCCCCGACGGCCAGTTTCCCCGATAGTTGACATAGACATGCTCGTACTCCCGCCGATCTCTAGTCACCGACTGAGACGATGGTGCCGCGGTCTATCGCTTCCAGAATAAACAAAGTCGACGTCCCCATCTCCTGATCTCCCCGGCGGTCAACGTCCCCGTTTCATGGACAATGATACCTTGGGCACAATCGGGGATTCCCCGAAAGTTGGTTCATCAAAGTTGAGAACGCTCACCTGGGCCTCCGCCCAGTGGTGCAGACATGCATGCATACATTCGGGCTTGCCGGAGTTGATTCCGAGACCGACATCCCCGCTTGTCGCGGAGCCGTTGCGAAGATTTTTCTGGAACACGGAGCGCCAAAGCGGACACCTCCCCGTCCTTCAGATCAACGTCGGACCGGCGTTCGTGTGACCGCAGGACCCGAAACGCCAGCGCAAGCTGCAGCGCAGCTCGCATGTATTAGAGTACGAGATGCCCGCCAACCTTGGGCTTTGAGCGATTGCGAGGTATGAGTTGGTGTTTACATGATCAATCATGCTTGACCAAGGGCCTTTTCACCTCCGAGGTCTCAACTTGAAGCCGTACACAGTATACTACTATTTCGATTGGTGCAGAGAATGCCGCAAGTCTGGCGAGGCTAGTGACCGTTGAGCGGACAGTGTTTCTTTGGCAATCCGCAATCGGCCGGATACCGCGGGGTTTCCATACTTACTCGACGCCAAGCATAGGTAATATAAGATCAAACTCAATTGAACACTATCTTCAACAAATGTCCCCAGAATCGATCCACAAAGTCACTCAGTGCAGGCGGTCAGCTCCCGAGGCTTGCAACAACAGTGCTTAGTGATCCTCGTCACGGTGCCGAGTCAGATGAATGCAGTGAGCAATCGCAAGCCAAGCTTCGTTTCACTACCAGCTCCCCCTCTTCACTGGTGAGCTCATCCTTGTCGCTTACCCGTGTTTGTTGAGACAGATACCTGCCTGCAGTACTTACCTATCATGGCTGTACTTTTTGCCGCACTTTGTTACGGGTTCTGCGCCTAGGTATCTGTCTGCATGGTTCGGAGGATGGAACTGGCAGGAGTGCCTTTTACTCGTACGGACGTAAGACATCGCTCATGCAGCACAAGTGGCGTTGCCGCGTCGGCACTGCCAGACGAATACTTCTTTGGGAGGATTTCCCAACCACCGTGGCTCCGTCACCAACTTGCGACCACTTGAGTTCAAACCCAGGACGAGAACTGCGCATAGTCGATGCAGCCGCGCCCGGCTGGGGTGGCACTGGCACCCCACACCGAATGCCGCGTTTAATTCTCACCAAACCTTAGAACGCAGCAAGGAAGGTGGAAACATGCAGGCTGCTGGCAGGATTGCCGCTTCCTGCGTCAGGTGAGGGACAACACTGTCTTTCCTAAGGCAATGCCAGCTGGCTAGATACTTTCCTAGGCACTAGCAAGTGGCTTTTTCCCTCTCTTTCCTCGGCGAGCCGCGAGACACCCCCCCAAGTCTGTGCGCCGAAGCCAACGGCCGTGACAGCACACCTTCTTAAAGGGACCTTTCATCCCCTCTTCTGCCCCCCCAATCGCATCTTTCAAAGAACGAATCGTGCTTTGACAGAAGATACAATCGATCGGACGACTCCACGCCCACACTTGTCTCGGTTGACGAAGAAGAAAAGACGAGAGGCCTTTAAAAGAAGACACAGCAAAGTAGTCGACTACCATATTCCATCAGCTATACTTCGTTGCTCGCCCCCCTTCATCTGTCAAACCTGCCAGACCCGTCTTCGAGGCTTAGTATCTCACCTGTCTGTCCACACTTTCATCGCACATACTTCGCAACGCCTAAGCAAAAATGTCGTCGTCCGGAGCTCCCCCCGCCGCCCCCGCATCCGAAGACTGCCCCTTCGGCCCCGTATCCCGGCACATCACAACCCACGACGCCAACGGCCGCGCCGTCTTCTCCGACGCGTTCCCTGTACAAGTCACACCGGACCCGCTGAAGAACATGTACTTCCACACCTGCTACACAACCTCCGAGTCCCCCGTCACAATGGACGACGAAAAGGACCTGGCAGCCTACGCCCCGAACCACCCACGCATGCCATCCCTGCACCTCCCCTCGGGCTCCGTCCTGAGGGTGGTCGATTTTGGCCCGCAGACGGGTCCAATGATGCACCGCACCGAGTCGTGCGACTACGGCATCGTGCTCAAGGGCGAGGTGGAGTGTTACCTGGACGACGGGGCGAAGCGGACGCTCAAGGAGGGGGAAATTATGATCCAGAGGGGCACGATGCACGGGTGGAAGAACGCAACGGACCAGTGGGCGCGGGTAATTTTCTGTCTGCAGCCTGCGGAGCCGGTGAGGGTGGCGGGTAAGGTGATGGAGGATGACATTCCGTTTATGAAGGTTTCGCCTGAGAGGCAGGCGGATTACGAGAAGTTCATGGCGGAGCAGGCTGCGAAGAAGAAGACTGAGGAGAAGATTTGATGTCCACGAGTTGTTGAGCATTTGACGACTTAGGGGTGAAAGAGTGATATACCTTACGTGGGAGACAATGCGATTGCTGCATGGAAGCCGGAGCAGATCCCGAGGGGTTATGAGTTACGATTCACGTCTCATTGAAGGTTGGGAGATAGCCCGCGTACTTAGTATACTTATTCGTACCAGCATTATATTACATTTCATTCACCAACTGTCTACCTCATTCCCCTTATCAAATTAGTTCGTAGTGATTCATCACATACGGTCACACGACATCCTATCACCGTCTCCTTGGTAATCCCGCCCGCGATAACCTACATGAGGAGGCCCATGTCGTGGCGGGGAATGTCAGCTGGTTTTCTGAATGGCCCACGCTCCCATGGGCCACGGGTCCATGTCCCGATTTCTACTTGTAAAATTTTCTTGCCTCGATAGATATGAGGTAAAGAGGCTGGCATGAGCCTCCTCGGATCTTTCGTAGGCTTCCCTGTATAGGAGGGCTGAGCTTTTTTGTATTATGTATTTAGAGAAAATTATTGTCGTAATTGGACGGAGCTGTTATGAATAGAGAAGGAACGGGACGTCTTATGAATTTCCGGAGCAGAGTTTGTCTAGACTGGAGTTCCGAAAACTGAGGGTCTGATGTTCCAATGTGGACAGTATGAATGATGGATTTTGGAATGATGTAACATCTCTGCATCCCCGTGTAAGTGATGCCGGCAGACCACTTTTCTAGTGCGCTGAGGTAACCCCCCCCCCCCAAAGGAGAGGCTTTCTACTACTAGATGATACGAATAATGACACTCAACCGTTGCTTTGTATTGTACTAAACGGAATTTCGCGAGCCTATGGCCAGAGGAGCAAGACACTCCAGCGTAGCTTAGGGCATGTGGCTGGTGCCAACCGTCAGAACGCATCATTGGCGGTCCGTGATGGGGTCATACTTTCTTCTTGCCAGACTTGCCTCTTTCTTTTGGCGCTCTGTCCCCGAGAAAGGAAAGAGAAAAAAAGAAGGAAAAAAAGGAAGGAAGGGTATGCCGATGATTGATCACGATAATGGATCAAGTCCGACTTTCCACGTCTTCTTGAGATTGTGGCGGCTGGGTAGCCTTCCACTTGCATGTCCAGAGAGGTAAATTTCAATCTATTGGTCGATGGCGAGCTTACCTAAGCAGAGTGAGTTGTCCCAGGCTGTTCCTGTCCGAGGACCTGAGCTTGGATACCTTCTCTGAGGTGGCACGAAACAACAGGTACTTTGGAACTCTCAAGACCGGAAAGAGGACCAATAGGCTGGGGCATTCGCACCATCTCTTGGAGTTTGATGAATTGTGGTTTAAACCCAACGATGTGGTCAAAGAAAAAAACGCTCACCTCCAGCTGTCGAGTCCAACCCCGACCACCTTAGCCGTAGTTGTCCAGACTGAGGTGGCCCTTGCTCCCGCCTCATCGAGGTACCTGAGGTATCCACTACCCCGAATGCAACACCCCTGATCCACCCCGAGAAAGTGGATCCAGCCACCGGGGTTCACCAAAAGAAAAAATAAAAAACGAAAATTTCGACATGCGCCGCTATCGTTTACATCTCATCCTCCTTCTCATCCTCCAGCCTCATCTCACAACGCAATAATCCCCCCTTTTTAATTCCCACCCCAACTCATCTGATCTTCAGCAACAGCTCATCTCATCTATCTCCCAATCCTCACATCACTTAACTTCTCAAAAGACCACTTTTCACATACACACAAAACCAACCAACCAACACAATGCCTCGCCGCGCCGCCCCAGAACCAAAGCCCCGCAAACCGCAATACTCCCCCGAAAAGCGCGCCCGCATCGCCGTCCTCTCGGAGCTCGGCATGTCCCTCAAAGAAATCTCCATCAAGGAGGAAGTCCCCGTCTCCTCCATCAAAGGCATCGTCACGCGCTACCGCCTCCAGCAGGCAGGGCGCGACCGGCCCCGTCCGGGCCGTCCCCGTATCCTCTCCGATCGGGACGTCAAGACGCTCCTGCGCGTGCTGCAGGAGAAGCCCGCGTGCACGTACGCCGAGCTGAAGCGCGACGCGGGCGTGACGTGCGCGACCAAGACGCTGGTGCGGTATCTGCAGATGGAGGGGTTGAAGCCGACGAAGCCGCCAGCCGGGGATTCCGAGGAGGAGGCGGAGAGGATGAGGGTTTTGGTTGAGGAGGGGGAGGGCGAAGAGGTGTGAGATGACTTTCTTCGACTTCGCCGTGGCAATGATGGCGGAGAGATTTTGAGCATGTCAAGCCCGTGGGACACCCCGCAGGTTTGCAATTACGGACATTCGTCTGTTACAGATTGACTTATTTGTAAGTTTCTTCTCAATGTTGAACTTGACGTCAGCGCTGACTTTGTAGATAACGACGGTCATCATTTGGGAAATAGGCAACGAAAGAGCTCGTCTTTGATGAGAAGGAGGTCACGCAAACACAGCCTCGGCCCTTGTTGATGAGACCATTCAAGGGGTGCTCGGGAGAACCGTAACCTTGGCAAGGATGCCTCATTCGCGCGGCTTTCTATCAACAGGGAAGCATCAGCTGGACGGCGCTCAAAGTCCACCAGGAACCTGCCGCAACAGACAGTGACTCGCCATGAGGCATGCTGCACCGCGACGTAGCCAAGGTGGTTCTATACGGCGGGAAGGAAAATTCTCCTCGCGTCGTGGTGTATGGGGGGCGTTATCCAGATAGAAGGGATGATTATGATATCGCGAAGCAACGAAGCAGAACACAATGCGTAAGGCAACTTATTCTACGGCGGGAGGTTTAGTAGGCAGGAAGTGACGTTGCCGATAATAGTCTCTAAGGGGAACATGGGAAAGGAGGAACAGCTCGTGGAGGCGCCCATCGCTTCTCATATCTCATGGGCGTCGCCGAAAACTTCTTACAAACTTTCGCTGACAATCGGCCATCATGTAACGTAACCATTTCTCAGAAAGAAGAGAGACTTAACTCACCGGTCGCTCATCACTCTAACCACATGCCTTAAATACGTCCCGGTACCACAACCCCCATCTTCACCCTCCTCCCCCTCACGAACCAACAACCCTTCCCCCTCAGCCCGAACCCTCCACGCATCCCAATCAACATCCACAACCCTCCGATCAACAAACACCAACCTCCCGCCCTCCCCCAACGCCGGCGCGAAAACCTTGACCCAATTCACGTCCTCCTCCTCCTCCTGCTGCTGCTGCTCGTCCGTTTCCCACTCACATACTCGCGACCTACCGTACCTCTCCCCCGTCCTCAACCCTGCGATAACAAGACACTGAAGCCGAAGACACCCCATCCTCACCGCGGCGCGTCGGATCGCGTCCAGGAGGAACCCACCATCAACACCGCCGCTCACATACGTCCGCAAATCCAAAAAGAGCGTCTCGAGCTGCGTCATGGCAGCCCAGTCCACGGCGACAAACTCCTCGTCGGGCAGGCCCCGTTCAATCACGAACGCCATCTCGCATCGGAAGTCGGTCACGGCATTGCGGCGCAGCCGGAGCTGGAGACAGGGGTCGGAGGGGAAGCTGTTGAACATTAGGTGGCGAGGCAACGACAACGACATGTCTGAAGCTGCTGCTGCTACTCTTCTTCTCGGATGAGAATGGCCGGCGTCTCGTCCGTGTCCGCAACCAGCTTCACGAAAGACGAGCGCCCCGGAAGCCATGCACCTACCTACCCCATCATCATGGCCCCTCGGCCAAACCTGCTCAAACACTCTCAGCCCGTTCCGTCCGAGGTCCCGCAGAGCCCAGTCCATCGCAGCCGGGAACCTCCTGCCGAGCTCCTCCTCCAGCAGCAGCAGTGCGCAGTATTGTTGCTGCTGCTGCTGCTTGTGTGGACCGTCTATCTGCCTCATCAACGGAAACGAGGCGTGATCCCCGTCCCCGTGCCGCACCCCGGACTCGTACTTACCTCGAGCGCTGCCACCCCTGCTGCCGCCGCCGCTACCCTTGGTGTAGACGTCGATCCGCTGTAGGTCGTATATCTCGTTGACGGGATCTGAGGCGCGGGCGCAGACGGCCCAGTCTGGGACGAAGAGGGATAAGATACAGGGGCTGGTGCTTACCGTGAGGTAGTCGTAGATGATGTGCTTTTGTAGCTCGAGTGGGAGTAAGGTTAGACGGTCGAGGATGGTTGGGGGATTTTGGCGTGGTACTTGTTGATGATCCATAGTTGCACGCATAGGAGGATGAGGGAGTATGTGTCGTGGGTGTTTGCAAGGATGGAGGTCCTGATACGGTATTAGTCCGTGTTCTGTAATGGATTTCAGACAACCTTCGATAGTCGGACGGCACTGGTTACCAAGAACTCGGATCGGCGAGGATGACAGGGCTGAAGATATTCTTTTAATAGATAACTCACCTTTGTACTGCGGGACGGACCTCGAGACGCATTCTGTTTTCCTTTGTCTTCGTTCAAGTTCTCGACAACGATCCTGGTCCAGTACTCTGAATGCCAAACTGTGAACAATGCCATTGACGTTCGAGGGCCCGCCAGTCCTCGAGACCTGGAACATTGTAGTAGATACGAAATCCAATGTTTTAGAGTCTAAAGCAGTAGAGGCTTTTTTTTTCTTTCTTTCCCCGTCGGTTGAAGACCATCGGATCTTGTTCCAGAAAGACCTTTATTAGTTGTCCGAAAAGCTGGTGAGCCTCAGATACCGTCCGAACTAACGCGGATGTTCTAGATTATGACAAGACTTTTGTAAAAACAACGACGTTTCAGTCACCCTGTAGATCAAGTTGCCACCTACTTCTTCTGCCTCAACATCTGACGGCCAAAACGTCAGAACTCTTTGGTAATGGAAAAAAGCTGTTGACTTCGAACCTTGGAGCCAGACGGGTAAACGCCGAGTCAATTGTCGAAATAGGAGTTGCAGAGTTGAGATTAAGGCCTGAAAGACCGATATGAAAATGTTCTTCTTAAGGAAGATCAATAAGCATACAGCCACTATGGCAGTTCCCTTCATCCTTCATATTTCCATCCAAAATTCACAACCGCAAACTAGTCCGACTTAAAAGTTAGAAATGGTATTGTTATACGTCCAACTTTTCCATTATCCAGTCTTCTACATAAAATAAAATAAAATAAAAAGACACTACGTGTAGCCGGAGGCTATATAAAGGGACCGAGACTCAGATGCAACATATCCAGCTCGGCCACACTTTCTTAGTCAAACAGTACAATCTCACATCAGGCCAAGTGCTCTTTTTGATAGCAAACACTCAATAGATTTGTCCATGATCTAACCATATTTTTTCTCATCCAAAAACTCCCCAACAACCTAGCCGCCAACCCGTCGAGGGGGTTACGCCTCAATCCTCCCGCTCCAGAATCTCAAAGCCATCCTCCGACTCAGCCCTCTTCTTCTTCTTTTCATCAGGGTACTCGTCGTGTTCAACCCAAGCATACTCAGACATCGTATCCAAGACATCGGCAACACCTACCTTCCAATCAGTCTCTCACACCCCTCTCACTCAATCGTGATTCTCGGGCGACTTGTGCTGATACTCGAACTACAGGACGCCCGCGCCGCCGACTCACCTTGCTCCTTCACATCGTCACCTATCTTCTTCTCTGATATGTCTTTTGTGTTGGTCTTACCGGCCGTAGGCGCATTTCCGTTTGCCTTCTCTGCGAGTGTGTCGTCTGTGGTTGTCTTACTCGTCCTGGTCTTCTCACTAGCCTCAGGTGCCTTGCACTCGAGCTCGAAAGGATCACTGCCACTCGACGAATCCCACCCCTCTCCGCCCCTGTACTCACCACCATGAGCATCGTCCCAGCCCCCGAACGCGACTCCGGAGTATCGATGCCCATCTCCATTCTCTACATCGGGCATCTCAAAGTCGTCGAACTCAGGCACTGGGTAGCCCATCCCGTCTCCAAAAACGTTCTCGGACCCTTCGAGAGAGCCAAGATTAGCGCACTCCCACCACGCAGCCTCTCCTTGCTGCAGCCTGTCCTCGCAGAACCTCGCTTCCGTGATCAAGCCCAGGTCGATCAACAAGTCAACCACATCGTACTGAGCTCCCTCCTCTTCCTGAGCCCACGCCAGCAGCCGCATCACACACATGAACTCCGTCGGCTCCGCATCGCGGCTCCATTCGAGGAGTCGACAACAGATGCGAGCCCAGGTCGCAATCCACTCCACGTCCAGGGAACCTGCCGCCTCGCGAAACTCAATCGTGTGGTCTTTCGTAGGGTAAGTCGTCCGCGTCGTGTTTCCGTCCTGCGGGGCGAGATGTTTGAGAGAGTGAAAATCATAGGCTTTGAACTTGTAGTTGATGTGCTTCGGGAGAAAAGCAGGCGTCATCAATTGCCCGACCTGTGCGACTGTCATGTCAGCACCGAGGAGATCCCTGACGCCAGACATAACGTCCCAGCGAGCCGGCTGGTTGACTTCTACACATTCGATGCTTCCTCCTTGGCCTAGGATGTACCCGTCCAGGAAGTCGGGGTCTCCGCGGATGTCTTTTCGCATCGTTCCGGGAACACGAGCGTAGCGTCTGTTGATTGGGGGAGGTCGAGGTCGTGGTGGGACTGCGCCGCTGGGTGCAGAGCTGCGGTAGTTCTTCGGCATCAATACAGGAGCCTCGTATCTAAGTGGAGGAAACCCAAATGGCGAGGTTGAGCGAGCTTCGGGGCTTTTGGGGTCCCTGACGTCGGGAATAATCCGCCGATGCTGCCATGGTTCGTGGCCCGTAAGAAGGGCCTCGTCGTCCTCTTGATCCAAACTCATCTCGCGATTCATCGTCTCTGGGGTTGCGTCCACCTCCACTGAGTCGCCAAGCCAACGGTCTCTTCCCAGGACTTTCATTTTCTTCAGATCCTGCAAGGCAATGTTTTTGTCAACGGTCACATCTGCAGGGCCTTCGCCCTGTCCCAGGGGTGTAGCTGCATTCACTCGAGCAGACTGGCTGTAGGCGAGGGTAGCACGCCAAGGAGGATGAAGTCGGCTGATAAGAGGGTCAGCGGCCCATAAGAGGGCAGCGAAATGCCGCAACGTCCTTGCGTCGATTCTTTGCGTCGGTCCTACACCTACATGAACGTGGAACCCACAGCTAGGGTTCACTCGGCACCGGAAGTTAGTAGTGATTACACTCACCGCCAGACGAATCATGTCAAAAGACATATTCATGTTGTACATGGCCGGGGATATCATTTCGACGCGCTGCCAGCGGTACCCGTCGACGTGGTCAGCTTTGAGAGAAATGTCTGTCTTGAGCTGGAACGCGTCGCTGGCCTTTTTACTCTGCATACTCTGCAAGGAGCCGGGCAGACCACATTCCCCCTGGCCATAAACCGGCAATCCAGCTTTAGCCAAGGCGTCTCCAATGCTGTGGAACACAAAGTCTTCGTCCCAATCGTACGCCGTATGCGGAAGGCCGTGCTTATCGATCCCGTCATCTGGAGGAACTACAACAAGAGGCTGCAGCTCATGCTTGATGGCATAGTCAGGGTCTCTTTCCCCCTCGCGAACAAAAGCAATGAAGAATTCGAGCTCTACGCCAAAGGACACTCGCGGAGGTGTGGTCTGTGCTTGGCGGTCGGCCATAATGGATTTGGACGTATGGTGCGAAGTTGGTTGGTGAAAAGTACAATGTGGTGCTTCTATCTGCGATCAGTCAATGATGCAAGTTCAGACGGATGAATGATATGAGGTAGGTATCTGTTGCGAAGAACTGGACTACTGCTAAACGGGTGGCAGTGAGTTGGAATATATCATAGCCTCCTCAATAGCAGAAATCACCTTGAAACGGTTCCGATATAAAGACAGAAATAAATGTCTTTAGTATTTTCCGTGGAAATAGAAAAATGACGAAACAATGGCGACAAGGTATGTTTGTCACGCCTTCATGACCTTTCCTATTGGCGTTGACAAAGGCATGTGTTAGTCAAGATTCGCAAGCTCGGGACGATGTGGCATACCTCAAAGAAGGTTAGTGGAGGACTGTTACAAGCCCATTGTCGGCCATAGGCCGGTGGTCAACGCTCAAAGCAGATGGAACAGGGAATGGGGGGGAATCAATTCTTCATTTCTTTTGACGTCGTCTGGACTGTCTTCAATCATGCCTAAAACGAGAAATGCAGAGCAAAAGCAACATGGGGTGACATCACCCGTCCCTCCTGTAACGCACTGACTCCTCCTAGAACTTCAAAATGCCATACGGGTGGGAATATCCATCGTCTCCATCGCATAATTCCACGTATTCCTCGTCAAAAAAGATTAGGGAGCCGCGTGGTAAGCACGCAGGCCGGGTAGTAGGGAAGGTGATTACAGAGAAGCGAAATACCGCTCAAAGCCCACAATTGTCAATCATGTCGCCGCATGAAGCAATCGGGACTCGCAGTTGACCACAGCCTAGTAGAGAGCAACAGCAATCTAGAGCATGTAGGCGAGGAGACCGATGGCAGCGACAGCAGCAGCGTTGCCGACGTGGGCGGGGTTCGCAGTAGGAGCGGCCCAGGCGGAAGAGCTGGAGCTGGAGGCAGCGGTAGTAGCGGCGGCGGTACCAGTTCCGGTGACAGCGCTGGTAGCAGTGGCGGTGGTGGTGGTGGAGACACCAGAAGCCTGGTCAGCCTGGGCGTTGATGGTACCGCACTGGGACTTGATGGTGTCGGTGCAGTTGGTCTGGCCGCGAGCGTCACCAACGTTGGCTGTGATGCAGTCCTCGAAGGCCTTCTCGCAGATGAAGGTGGGCAAGGTCTGCTCGTAGTACTCAAGGCCGGGGGCAGAGCCGTTGGGGCAGAGGCAAGAGTAGACAAGGGTGGTCTATTGAGTAAGAGTTAGCCATGCTACACACGAGCGTCGGCTTCTTTGGATTCGGGCCGGGGCGATCAACAAGCAAGCGACTAGTGCTCCTGCTCTAGCATAGAAAAAAAAAAGAGGAGAACTTACAGAATCGCAGTCGTTGGTGGTGGGGTTAGGCTCGCAAAGGACCTTGCAAGTGTTGCGCTCGGCGACACACCAGCTGGCTGTGGAAGGAAAAAAGAATTAGTCAATGCTCAGTGGTTGTAGTTGGGCGGCAAAGCCTGGTTGCCACAGATGATGGCATCGTTTCTCCCAATTGACTTACCTCTCTGGTTCACGGAGACAGTAGCAACGTTGATGTCGGCAGCGGTGAAGACCTTGCGCTGAGCAGAGACGGCAGTGAGGGCCGAGAGGGCCACGACGGCGAGAGAAGTACGCATGTTGTCTGTTGGTGATGTGTAGAGGTAGTGGAAATTGTGGTTGGTTGAAGTTGTTGAATGGAGACGGGAGAGAACGTCTGACAATCAATCAAGCGATATTCAGTTCCAAAGTATCGTCGGCGGCGTGAAGATGTTTAGCCTGGATGTGCTTGCTGGTGATGTTTGACGGAGCGTGGGCAGGGAAAAGAGAAGAGGTGAAGTCAAAACAGGTGGGCGACGCGGGCAACGATGTGGTTTTATTATGAGGCGAGAGTGTAGCAACAGCAGCAACAGCAACGAGAGCGGCGGCAGGTACCTCGGGGTGTGTGTGAGTGGTTCTTTCCCACGCTTCCATGTCTCTCTAGTCGCACTTGCCTTGAATGCGGTAAGCTCAATGGGGGGAGCGGGAAAAAAAAGTGTGAGGAGTCCAGGTATGAGTGCAGGTGCCAGTGGACAGTTGCAAGGGTGGCTGGTGGAACAGCAGAAACCGCACCTTCCCTCTTGCGATCATCAGAAAGACAGGCAACGCATGGTTTGATTGCGCGGTACCTGTCCGGCCGACCGCGTCTTTTTCTCTCTCTCCCGGTCTCTCTCACACATTTTTCCCTCTCTTAGGACCTATCGACCTTACCTCACACGTGCGGCTTTGCCCTCGCCTCCCCTTCTCTTTCTACTAGTTAGACCATGATGCCCACGTCCGCCCAGCAGCAATTGCACCGGCGCGTCCACGTCGGACACAATACAAGGGTACCACTTACATGGCGGTCGCAAGTCGCCGGGCTTGGCCCGTTCTTCCCTCACACAAACAAGGCCTGTAAAGATGGGTACGTACTAGCGAATACAGATGTGTGGCTGGGATCCACACATCGCAAATGTCGGGTCACAGTGGGGGAGAGGGGAAACCCAACCAGGAACACATGCACATCCTCCAGTGCAGCCGCCGTATCTCCGTCAAGAAAAGTCCAATTGAGGTTGCCGTTGCGGACTCGGGTTAAATCACGATGGAATTCTCGCGGTGAGGTCAGAACTGAGAAGCGACATCGTCACCGAGAGCGTGCGTGAGCGTCAGCGAATTCGCACAGACTGTCCGCGACTTTGCTGTTATCGGCAGGAGCGGGTTGCCAACCGACTGGCCGGGGAGGTACGTACCGCACATGGCCTTAATCAAGATAGGAACGCTACAAGGTTGCACATGGCGGGAATTGGATGTGTACGTATCTACACAGTAGTTCTGTACAGATAATTAGAGTGCATCTTCTCGAGCAGAAGCTAAGACAGCGCCATCCCGCAAAGCTGTGGTGGTTTAAATCTTCGTCCTCTTCTTTCTACCTTACTCACTCCCGTAGCGCAGCGCAATCTCTGATACACTTAACCCCAATTTCATAATAACATCGTCAATTGTCAAGTGCCGCGGCGGTGGATGCTCATATAAGGGAGGTAGTTAAGCAGGCATAGGGCTGCCCTGTCAGTAGCACCTGGTCCCTGTCGCCTCAGACTTTGGAGACTGAAACTTTCAGCGACCCTCGTGATGGCCTCATCCGCGTCGTCGCATCTTTTCCGCTTTCATTCCATAATTAATACAGACATGGCCCCGGCAGTTTGCCTGTGCCACCGCGGCTTATGCCATGCCACCGGCCAGGCTGAGTGTTCACCCACACATGCACACGACACGGCACTCAAGGATTCACCGGGAACGACAGAATTCTTCCCGCTGAACCTTTGGCTGGGTCAGTCTCTGATTACAGTTCTGTGGGAGAAGCTCCCTGACTAAGTAAAGTAATGGGAGCGGCTGCTGTCAGTCGCGATGGGATGGGCTTTTGATGGCACGCCGCACGCCGCACGCGAGATTCCATTGACCAGGCGATGGTCGCAGCGCCAAGTGCTATTACAGTCGCATTCCTTGCGGTGCGTGTCTCATAACAAAACAGAGAGAAGCAAATTGAGATAGCGAGACTACCTTACCTTAGGTAGAGAGGCACAGAGGGAAAGATTGCCCCCTCTCCTCCCTCCGCCGGCGTCTCCTTCAGATTTCAGATTTCGCAGGGCCCGGGCTTTTCATCTCGGTCTAACGTTACCCAACACAGCTCCACCTTCCGCTCCTCTATTACTAGGTACCTGTGCGAATACTCCGGAAGGTACGAATAGTGACTGAGGTGTAGTGTTCTTTCCCTCAACTTCCTCGAGAGTTCCTCCGCTCCTAGGTCTGCAGAAACAACGCCATTCCCAAACTGTGCTAGAACGGCAGGAACACTAGCCACAGATATGCAGCTTGGCTGTTGCCGTGGTCCGGGAGACTCGCAGGTTCCATTTCCATTGTGTGGGGGCAAGGGTATCTATTGCCAATCAATTCAACGCAACGCACTTTGCTCCGGGGCCGTCCCATTTGCTGCTTCTTTTTTTCCCTCGGTCTCTGGCTTCTCCCCGTCACTGTCATCTGCTGCAACAACCTGCCGATGCCTCAGATTCATTGAGTCCCCGATGGTTCTTTCATTGCCGGCAGACGTGGAATACGTCCCGGCAGCATCTTACGACTACGATAATGTACTGCGTAGACTCTATTACACGGAGTGCATCGTCAATCGCCAATTCATCAGAGAAGCAGCTATGATGGTTTACCGGCAAGACGTCTCATCTTCCGAAACGAACATGACCTTTACCCGCCCCTTCTCACATCGCATCGCGTCGTCCTCTTCTTGGCGTCGCTGAATTACCGCCCTGCTCACTGGTTCCCTGCCTCACTCTTGTACCATGTTCTGTTTCTGTTTGCGAATCCCCTTGCCCTCCAAACACCCCTTTTTCCCTGTGAACAGACTGACTACATACCGCAAAGTATCGAATGGTGATACACCAGACGCCATGAGCCTTACCAAGCCGACATCTCAGCATCATGATCAACTACCTGAACCCCTCTACAGAGTACTTACCTTAGTGTCCGGTTGAGCCCGGCCCCATATCGAGAACCCTGTCCTGCTGGCCTTACAAATGCCTGCTGCATCTTTTTCGTGGAGCAGCCTATGGAGCAGCCCGGCGCCTGCGGATGTTCGTGCCCAAAGCTCCAACGCCGTTGGACGCCAGCCAACAATCACGGCACAAAGAGGCCGCCTCCCAACTCCAATGTCGATTTTGGGCTGGTGAAAAAGACAATGAGTCTCTCAAATCGGCAACGCGGCCAGTCCACGCACGCTCTTGCAGTAGCACTAAACCGAAATACCACCTGGCACCTGTGGCACTGGCACACCACGGCGAGCTGCCTCCCACGGTCTTGGGCGCTGAGCTACCACGAGCTTGCCGTCCAATCATCATAGTCAATTGCTTGCCCAGGTTTCTAGTGATCGTCATCAACAGCGACACTAGTTATCTACACTAGCCATCTGCACCAAACGC